TCTCTCCTAAGTTTCTTGGTCTGTGTGGGTGTGCGCTACTTTTTCAAATCAGACAGAATCTAGAAGCATACTAATATCTCTGCTGATCGTGTGTTGTGTAATTAGTCCTGTTATATAAGAGAACATGCCTACTATTGTTACTATTTTAGGTAAGTAGGAGCTTAAACAAAATGTGCTGGTAAACACTGCTCGTGTTCAAGATATTTTATACCCCTGCTTCCCACTTTTTAATATTCTGTAGGCCACGTTTTTAATATTCATCTCCTTCACTCTATTTTTAAATGTAAATCTGCATACGTATTTTCAAACCTTCTGATTATCCCTCCTCTTGTGTATGGGCTGTGTTGATTTGGCTATAAACCAAAGAACTATAATTGCTTATCATTATACATGCAATATAGGCAATTAACGATTACAATGAAATAATTAATTTATGCACTATGCAAAGTTAAGTAACAAAGGTTTGACTATATAACTTCAAAGGAACATGAATTTCTAGTTTCTCATGAATAATTTCATTTTTGTAAGTATAATAGGCTACCAACTTTAATCATATTCGCTACTCTGAAATTATATGGCTACCAATTAAATTTTGCAGGAATCTCACCCACCATGATCATTTCAAAATGTACCACCTGTGGGATTATAATCAAGTGATCAGTTCATTCAATCTCTAAAAGTAATAAAGAACATCTAAGTTCAGGAAAGGAATCAGTTATTCGGCAATCTGCGTTTACAAAACATACGAACTATGGAATTCAATGTGATCAAGGGTGATGATGGCCACTACTTTCAAAAGTTTTACAAGGAGAATTGGGCTATCAATGCCTAAAAGTCTTGATGATTCAGAATGCCTTAAATACCAGCTACTAGAAAACAACAGCAAAGAAATTGCATTGCCCTCTAGTCCATAGCCTGTCAATTTCCTGAATGCATCTATGTACACACAACTCTAACCTAATGGACACTTATGTTTGAACTATATTCATGCAACTGAGAAAAAACAGAAACTACAATATATTTTACCTCAAGTTATACAAATGTTGAGCTGGTCATGGAATTATTTGAGTTGAATTTGAATTTATTGTAGTCACTCACCAATGCACACTAACAAAAATAGATAAAAATTAACACTTTCTATACTAAAAACAAATAACAATAAAATGAACTCACAACAATGAATTGCTAAATCAGAAACATGTAATGGAACAATTGTCTCAACTGTAATTTTAATTTTTAAATTAGCAATTTTTCAGCCACAGTGGTTGATAAAATTGCTATTTTTACTAGGGATTTTGAGGTTACATTATTTTTTTCCCAAAATGATATAAATTACAATACATTACATTTAAATATGTAAATTGTGATCCAGTTTTCATGCTTACATCAATATAACTCTGGTCTACAAGGAGAAAGCCTCAGAAATGAAAGTAGTTTAATTTTAGGGTCACTAATAAAGGAAAATTATGTCCTGAGTATTAATTGGCTCCAGTTTCCAAGATCAAAATTCCAAGGTCAAAATTGCATCAAAATAATTCAAAATTACAAGGGGGATGTGCAATTATGCTCCATCACTTTTCTGCAAAATGTGATATAGCAATGAAAAAGGTGCCACACCAATCATTATAAATTTATCTTTTTATTGATACCAATAACATAACTTTCCATTCATTTATTGGTTTTTCATGTAACATTTTCATGCTTTTTGCATAAAAAACTGACAAGTTCTAACATCAGATTAAATGATAAGGTTCCACTATTTTAATCTGGAGCCCAGTAGCTCTGCTTTACTCTTAGGCAATTCCAAATCCCTGACCAAGTCATTTAGTTCACTCTGAGAAATCAGATGTGGTTCAGGAGGAGCATACAGTGGCCTAAAGTTTGGGTCCGCTGACATCAACGGCCCTGGATCAGCTCCATCCTGTTCATTGTCTTTATCATCATCTGAGTCTAGAGAGTAGGATTCTGGTGGATCTGGAATTGGCAAGTCCTCACCATGGGGTACAGGACGCAATGCGGATGAGATGTTTGGATATTCCATAATACACTTCTTCTTTCCTGAGATCCCTTTTGCAATTGGGGAAACCATGTGAAAAGAGTAGTCGCTACTATGATTGGTGGGTTCCCTCCACATTCCATTGGAACTGCAAAAGGCATGGAGTTTTTCTTCTTGTTTAGCCAAATTGCACATGTAATGCAACAATAATGAGGGGCCCAACTCTCGTCCTGATCCCCTATTTTGCATCCAAAATATAGGTGCTATGCCTTTTTTACCACTGCCATCACACTGCACTTTTGAGATGCAAATGTAACCTCACCACAAATGTGGCAGAAGTTATCTGCACTGTTTACACAGTTTTGTGGCATCTTGGCTTCTGGGGGAAAATATCACGCAACTGTTCCTTGGAAATGTTAGGCAATAACACTTTCACAAGCCACCAGATGTAACTGTACGATGCGTAGATCTGACCAAGACAAATGTACCTTGCAATAAAAGAACAATAAATTACAGTTAGGTAATAATCTTTAGTCTCAAAGTGAATATTAAAAACAGACCTGTCAATAATCTAAGAATCAGAAAGTACCAGAGGACTTCAAATCAAAACATCATCAGCTTTGTGCTGATTATTAGTACTCACATACAATTTTATGTCTGGGAAAATGATGCAGCACCTACCAATTTTGCCTCTGACTGCACCGGTTGTGGAGATGATGGTCCTGGAATTCCTGGGATACTAGGCACCATGGTGACAGGTCTGACAAGCTGTCCAAGAGAGTGTGAGTTAAGACCAAATAAAAACAAACTCTACTTCATAAGTAATTAGGATTTTCCACCCATATGAATGAATGAATATCCCTTTACTTTAACTACACCACAATGCTGCTCTACCTCAATGAGATTAAGATTTGACTCAGAGGATCTTTAATCCTATCTACTGACATTAGGCAGGTGGTATCCAGGAAGAAGAACCCCTACCAAGAGCAGCAGTCTATTTGGGAAATAACCTTTCCAGATATGTTTATTTATTAATCAAATGTCTGTGCTGATGCCTTGCGGTGGCTAACAAGATTACAAAAATACATAAAGTATAAAAAACTTAACAGTAAAATAGATACTGTTCAAACATCCCCCAGAAAAGCCGATCTTCAGTTTTTTATGGAAAGTAGACTACGTGGGAGACAAACATCCAATGTGAATTCTTTCCAGGGCCAGGGCCAGCTCTGAAAAACAGAGCTTGTTTTGTTAGTTCACAATAAGGCTTTTATCTGCTGAAATCTTATTTATTATTGATTTTTATTACTATGATTACTTTTATTACTATTAGATTTACAACTCACCTTTTATTTTTTACAACTGAAAGCAAGTTACATAATGCCCTGCTTCCTATTTTCTAGTCCACAACAACCCTGTGAGGTGGGTGTGGCTGAGATTGATTAGCCTGAAGTCCCCCAATTGGCTTTCATGACTAAAGGAGGAGAATTTATTGGTCCAGCTAGTCCAATCCACTCTTCAGCACAAAATATCCAGAGTTTTCTCAACAGATGACTGCCTATCTAGATTTTGGTTTAACACTGTCGATACACAGAAGCCCTGCCTCTTGAACATTTTGTGTACTCTTACTGGTTAATTGAAAACTAATCATTTACAGCTTAAGGCACAGGCCTACTCCCTAAGGAGCAAAGCTGAATCTTTTTCCTCCCCTGTGCAGCTGTCATGAGTTATGCTATCAAATATATCCCAGTATTTTGGGCTGCTACTTTTAACTTTTTTTCATGACTTCTGAAGAGCCAGATATTCTTCTATACATTATTTATATATAATAAATACACCTGTATCCAGGCTTTTGGCTATGATCAATTATATGTAAGGATAATTAAAAATGTTGAAAAAATACCAAGTCTTAGTCAGAATACTGCCAGCAAGGTATGCATCAGGGATGCCTGTAATACTGTTGGTAATGTGTGTTGGGGGGATAGTTAGAGCAGATATGCTTCGTCCCTTCTTGCCTAAATTAGTTTATATCAGGCATGTCAAACTCGCAACGTCATGTGATGTCGCGCGACGTATCAGAGCTTTTTCTCCATTGCCGGCAATGGGGTGGGCGCGGTTTTGGGATGATGCGTCCAGCCCGCGGGCTGGCAGTTTGACACCCCTGGTTTATATGAAGATTGTTCCCTTACTCCGACTGAGGAATGTCTTTCAGTTTTTTTCTCCATAAGATCCTGATTTAGATCTAATTTCAGTTTCCCAGTATTAGTACAGCCTAATTATATACTCCTCTCCCATCATCCTTATTGGTTTTGCCAGAGACACAGATGTTCCCAGGATAAGGATTTTGTGAGAGGGACTTGTCCAAACTTTGAAGGAAGTTATTACATCATGCAATAGACTTACTGGAACTGCAGTTGGTACGTGCACATTAGAATTTGTGATTGAAGCGGGAATAGCAACAGGCATGGTTTGTCCATTAGGAAGATGCAACAAAAGGGGGAAAGGGCCTGGCACCGGTCTAAGAAAAGAAGAAAAAACAATTATAGCACTTATAGTAGAAAAAATATTGCAAATTTCAATAGTCCTTGAAAAAAGTCTAGGGTGCTAAAACATTTTCTACTATATCTCCAATGTTAGATTAATTTTAATTTGTAGTTTTGATTCTTTTTTACCACCAGAAAAAAATTATCATGAAGTTTTTTTAAAAATTTTTGACCACAGATAAATTTTATTTTTATTTCATAAATCTTTGCAACAATCCTATCCAATTAAAGAAGTTATTAAAATACTTAGTTTTTTTTTAAAAGTCAGAGATATAAAATTAGATCCTACTCATCCTACGGGTTTCACCATTTCAGCACTGTGAAATTTGTTTGGAGATCATTGCATAAATTAGAAATAGTTTATGGAATACTGTAACATTATCTGATATTTTCTAGATGGTGGGGTTAGTGGAGCCTTTCAGTCCTGGAATGTTATTGTAAAGAAGCAGAAGCAGAAGAAGAGGAAGAAATAATTGGATCCAGATATGAAGTTCTGCAACCTGAATTAATCCTTCTGTTTGCAAAAAAGGACCAAAAACCACTAAAGCAGGGGTGTCAAACTCGCAACGTCATGTGACGTGTCTCAACGTATCGGGCCTTTTTCCCTATTGCCAGAGCTGGGGTGGGCACAGTTTCGACATGATGCATCCGGCTCATGGGCCGGCAGTTTGACACCCCTGCACTAAAGGAAGAAATGTTTTTATCAATTCCTCTCTTCCACTAAAATACAATTAATGAATCAAATTTCCAGATGGCACCCACAAAAAATGGAGGAATCAATGAATTCACTATCTTTCTTTCCGTAAAAAATATTTTGAGGTACTCTGGAGATAAGCCAGAGCTGTTTTGACTTACAAAACAAACATCAACATTTGTTTCCATCGTTTTTCCTCTTTAGTCACATATAAAGCACAAAACTAAATAAGACTGACCGTTTTTACGAGAAAATCTAGATAATTTTTTTTCGACTTTTCAAAACCCCAACTAGTCCTTGCCATTTTATTAAATTCTCTGAAGCTTATACAGCAGTTGTGAGGTTATATTTACAAGAGATAAGAACATTTTAGTATCTATTTAACACTTACACTATTGGCCTATTGGAAGATGGAGCTTGTGTTATGACAGTGCTAGAAGTTGGTGACGGTATGGCTTGCTGAATAATGACACTTGAGTCAGAACTTGCAAGCAACACATTAGGAACCTGTAGAGAAGCTGGGCGTACAATTGTGGAAGTAGGCTGGGCAGTTTGCTGCAGACACACTTCCTGCAAGAAACACGAAAGCTTCTCAATTTCCCAAGCCTCATTAGAATCAAAGATAATCAGAATTCTTTAATTATATTTAGATTTCTTTTAACTTTTTCTCAAAAAAAAATGTTAAAATCCCTAGAATTCTTTTAGTTGCAACTTACTACCATTTCTTACATTAAGAACTACCACATGGATCAGGAATAGGCAACCTGCAGTCCTAGAGCCACATGCAACCTTTGGCCCGATTTCATGCAACCCTCAGCCTAATTTCAAAAGTTCTTCACAACTGATCAGTTCAGACCCCTGGCAAGAATGATCTGTCCCTTCCCCAGCAGTCTGCTGTGAGAAAAGAAAGAAAGGGAAAAAAGTGTCAGAAAGAGATTATGAAAGAAAAAGTATGAGAAAAAAGGAATTCTAGATAGAGATTAAATGGGTCAATCAGCTCACTTTTGCTCTGGTTCTCTCCATGACCTGCTTCTGCCTCACCTACCAAAGCTAATGAAATTCCCAACACATTACAACTAAATAAACGTCACTTTCATCTCCCCAAATAGATTACCCACCCCAACACAGATTCTTTGGTCGGGACTACAGGCAAAGACAATATTCTGCAAGCATGTTGTTATCGACGTTGGGGAGCTTTTTCTCACACTTGATAAGTGTCTCTATAACAGACTCTATTATCACTTAAATGTGTAAGACTGGTATGAATTCTTTTTTTCTTTTTTTTTTAAAATAAATTTTTATTGATTTTTCATTAAGAAACAAAAACATAAATCTTTTATCACAATATCAACCAGAAAAAAATCAACACCAATCAGTACATTCACGGACTTTGGGAAGTCCTGGGGGGGGGAGAGGGGAAAGGGCTAGGTTGGTATTATAGATTTATATGTATATATATGTATGATTTTCTAAGGAGGTGCCCGGTGATACCCCAACTGCACTGACGGGATGGTTGAGGGAGAAAGGGAAGTAGGAAAGAGGGAGGAAGGAGGAGTGGTGGTAGGATAAGGAGGAGGAAGGTGTAGGCAAGTGAGAGGGGGGTGCGGGAGGAAGACTGGTATGAATTCTTGATGTGGATAGGTTTGCTTAGTCATGTTTGAGATACATAGCAGAAAAGATTCATGTACCTTTGTTCATAGACCAAACAAAGGAAGAAATGTTTGCATCACAAAAATTGCTATGGTAACTTTTAGTAACTAGACAAGGTAATAAACATAAGCATTTCAGTGCTTCAAAAATTTAACATTTAAAAAAATAATTTTAACGTAATATTTCAGTTAATTTGGGTTTAATTTGCCTTATATGAGGAATACAGATGTGCCGATGGAGTTTAGCAGAATATTTAAGATCTTATGATTATCTTAGATTTACTGGTAATATCTATAGAAATACTGTACATCTGAAGTATAAAAAGTCTCTGACCTTCTCGTCACTGGTCGTAGACTCTGGATGAGGTAAGGGGCTATCTTGGTGAGTTGTTTCAACCACTGAAGGCTCTTCAATTTTATTTCTTATAATTGGAGTTACAAGAGGTGATAAATCTAGAGGCATCTATAAGAATGAATGGCGAGATAAATTTTAAAACCTGCAAATTATAAATGTCTCTTTAAAGAACAGGGAATTCACAATAATGCTAATGTACTAACCAAAAATATGATTTTTTCAGTTAGTTAGAAAGAAGGTATCTACTGCTAATATTAACTTATTATAAAGTAATATTCTTGAAGTTCAATCTTAGGAAAAACAACAGTGTTCATTTATAAACAGAATGTAGAACTACAAAAAGCCTGTTAAGAGCTTTGTCTTTTTTTTAAGCAAAGAAATATTAAAACAACATTTTTATGCTCACCCTCATTTTGTTAATGCAAAATTTCTAGCTGCAAACAGAATTCAAGTAATCACTACTGTATAAATTGAAATAGTTTTAATTTGTTACATTTACATACTTTTTTAATATCATCTTCAGAAGCTTTTTTGAATTCATTTTCAAAAGGACTTGCTAATTCATTGAATAAACCCACTTCTTCACAATTCTTCAAAAATCGAGTTGGTGTTGGAGTTTGATCTGAGATTAAAAGGAAAAATATATGATTTCACCCCTAATATAAAAGCATACATATTTGGCAATCAAAACCAATATTATTAACATCACAAGCACTTTATAAAATTAATATGTCCATACATGAGCGCAGTAAGAACAAATTTGAACATCTTGTTCTTAATATCATCATATTTTTGTTTTAACCACATTATTGAAAATTCAAACATCATAGTTAAAAGGACTTTAAAAATACGAGACAACATGCACATATGATTTGTAGAAATTCAGGAAACTCTATATAAGGAAGAATAGAGATATATTTTTGTATCTGAAGATGCGCTTTATCTATTATTTTGCTCATGGGTTTTAGAAAAAAGCAAATACTGCAAAGGAACCCCAAAATTATAGCATTTTATAGTAACACAGAATTAAATGTTTGCTTCTCCAAAATATCAGAATATAAATACCCTAAAACCCACAATTAATTTTGTATTGATGATAATGATAACATGGGATATTGGCGAGACTCAGATTTGAAGAATAAAATAGTCAAGAGGGTGGAGGGGAATTCATCAGGATACCTTAAAATGTATTGTTCTCCAAATTGTACATTAGTCGCAGATGGCAGCATGCAATCCCTCAAACATAACAGTGTTTAAAGCATTCCCAAGATATATGTGCCCACACATCATCCAAATCTCATTTTGTCCTTTGAATCTCATACAGTGAGGGAAAAAATTATTTGATCCCCTGCTGATTTTGTACATTTGCTGACAAAGAAATGATCAATCTATAATTTTAATGGTAGGTTTATTTTAACAGTGAGAGACAGAATAACAACAACAAAAAATCCAGAAAAATGCATTTCAAAAAAGTTATAAATTGATTTGCATTTTAATGAGGGAAATAAGTATTTGACCCCTTCACAAAACATGACTTAGTACTTGGTGGCAAAACCCTTTTTGGCAATCACAGAGCCAGATGTTTCTTGTAGTTGGCCACCAGGCTTGCACACATCTCAGGAGGTATTTTGTCTCACTCCTTTTTGCAGATCCTCTCCAAGATATTAAGATTTTCTATGGGATTAAGGTCTAGAGACTGGCTAGGCCACTCCAGGACCTTAATGTGCTTCTTCTTGAGCCACTCCTTTATTGCCTTGGCTGTGTGTTTTGGGTCATTGCCATCCTGGAATATCCATCCACGGCCCATTTTCAATGCCCTGGCTGAGGGAAAGAGGTTCTCACCTAAGATTTGACGGTACATGGCCCCGTCCATAGCTCCTTTGATGTGGTGAAGTTGTCTTGTCCCCTTAGCAGAAAAACACCCCCAAAGCATAATGTTTCCACCTCCATGTTTGATGGTGGGGATGGTGTTCTTGGGGTCATAGGCAGCATTTCTTCTGCTCCAAACCCAGTGAGTTGAGTTGATGCCAAAGAGCTCGATTTTGGTCTCCTCTGACCATAACACTTTCACCCAGTTCTCCTTCTGAATGATTCAGATGTTCATTGACAAACTTGTGCTTTCTTGAGCAGGGGGACCTTGCAGGCGCTGCAGGATTTCAGTCCTTCATGGCGTAGTGTGTTACCAATTGTTTTCTTGGTGACTATGGTCCCAGCTGCCTTGAGATCATTGACAAGATCCTCCCGTGTCGTTCTGGGCTGATTCCTCACCGTTCTCATGATCGTTGAAACTCCACGAGGTGAGATCTTGCATGGAGCCCCAGACCAAGGGAGATTGACGGTTATTTTGTGTTTCTTCCATTTGTGAATAATTGCACCAACTGTTGTCACCTTCTCACCAAGCTGCTTGGCGATAGTCTTGTAGCCCATTCCAGCCTTGTGTAGGTCTACAATCTTGTCCCTGACATCCTTGGACAGCTTTTTGGTCTTGGCCATGGTGGAGAGTTTGGAATCTGATTGATTGATTGCTTCTGTGAACAGGTGTCTTTTATACAGGTAACAAGCTGAGATTAGGAGCACTCTCTTACAGGGTGTGCTCCTAATCTCAGCTTGTTAGCTATATAAAAGACACCTGGGAGCCAGAAATCTTGCTGATTGATAGGGGATCAAATACTTATTTCACTCATTAAAATGCAAATCAATTTATAACTTTTTTGAAATGCATTTTTCTGGATGTTTTTGTTGTTATTCTGTCTCTCACTGTTAAAATAAACCTACCATTAAAATTATAGACTGATCATTTCTTTGTCAGTGGGCAAATGTACAAATCAGCAGGGGATCAAATAATTTTTTCCCTCACTGTATCTGACAGTTATAATATAATGACTGAGACTCAGTGATAGGAGGATAACATATTTAGGAAATTGTGATAGTATTTCATTGGTAGGTAGTTCATGCAATCACAATTAGATATCTTCATAGGGGCAAAAGAAGAAAATAATCCACATAGTATTTAAATAGTAACATTATTAAATTATTTTGCTGTAGAAGCTATGGTCTACCTTTCATACAGGATTTGTGTATGCATTTATTAAAATTACCGTACCTTTAGAAGATAGCATTACATGTAATTCCATTTTATTCCATATAGTACAATGACATAAAATACATTTGAATCAGACCTATACATACAATTATTTCCAAATACCACAATAACCTATATCATGGATCACACATTACAGTGAGCCATACATTAATCATGATTTATAAACCCCTATGGCTCAAATCATATAACATGACAATCCAAATCCAAACAAACCATATTCTGGCATAGTGCAATATGTGAATGTAGTCAATGCATCATTCTAGAATGTGAGCATTGTTTTGATTATAAAATAGTTTTTTTTAAAAAAAATCTAATTCTGTTTACTTTTCGTTTAAAAGCAAAAATGGAAAGATTTAAAAGAACATATTATCGGAAGGGAAAAGACCATCAAAGATATAAAGATTAAGCAAGGGTCTATTCAATCAATTAAAATTTCTTTTTAAATTTTCTTTGTAAGACATAATTAAGATCAGTAAAAATGTAAGAAACCATAAGAAGTTATCTCATAGCAACATGTACACGACTTTGGTAAAAACATATTGTGCGGATATGCATTCTCTGTATCTACATTAAATTGCTAGATGTTACTTCTTACAACAATTTTGTGAAGTTCTGTATATTAGATTGCTCTTAATTACTAAGTCTGAAGCATATATAGCCATTAGATTGTTATTAATTTATCAACCAATCCATGTTAAGGAAAAGGACAATACATGATGTAATTTCATTTTATTTGTAAAAAAAATATTCTGATAGGATTGCAAGCATATACAGAAAATACACAAAATCTGGGCACATTCCAAGAGTTGGATTAATAAAATATATACTAACCAGCTACAATGACACTGTCATTACGAGCTGGACCAAATTTCAGTGTCATCTCATGTTTATGTTTATGGACAGCCAAATGATCCTCGTTGGTAAAACGCTGCGACAAGAAGTTTTAAAATACAGTTATAAATTTGAATTATGACTAAACAGTGGGAATCATTTTCAAAATGGGTTACAAACCATTTGCAATGAAAAGGCTCGTTTTTTGTTTAATTAAAAGATTGCTAAAATTACATACTTCTAAATTTGTTTTTTTTATTGACCATTCTCTTGAATATTTAAGTAGCATCATCATAAGTCACAAATGACACAAATCAATTTTAATGGTTTTCACTCTAAATACAAATTTTGACACAAGTAATTCAGAATTTTAACCACTATAAATTGCAAATATGAGGGACTTGCAACAGGCAGAAAGCCTTTATTCTATAAAATGTCTTTCCCCTCTTTTTTTTCTGCCATCCACATAAGAACCCTCTAATTCTACTCCAGAAAAATCAGGATTTTTTTTTAAATAGATTGAGAACACATATAAAAAAATTGTCATTTCTGTGTGCTTTGTTTTCATTGATACAACTTTGCCAATGCTGAGTAATTGCTGGGCACAATTAAACAGAAATTACAAAGGATAGATCATTTTTGTGCCAAATCCCCCAACTCCTGTTTGCATACAAGGCTTATCTTAACATGCATTCTAGTGTATGTTCTTCTGGATGGTGTATATGCTTCTAGCACATACTGGCATTTCTTAGAATAAAACTTTGAGATTATTCAAAATTAAAATTTGATATAATGTTATAAATCACACATCATGATTTGGTCTCCTTCATTTTAAACCACTGAAAATATCAGTTAAATGCTCTTGGACTATTAGATTATTATATTTACTATTTGCATAAGTCTAATGAGCCACCCAGCAGTTCAAAAGCATGCAAATGTAATTGGATAAATAGGGACCACTTTGGTGGGAAGGTAACAGCATTATGTGCGCCTTGGTGTATAGCCATGCTGGCCACATGACCACGGAAATTGTCTTCAGACAACTCTGTTTCCCTTGGCTAAGAAACAGAGGTGAACACCGCCCCCTAGAGTCAGATAAGGCTGGACGGGGAAACCTTTACTTTTTTAATAAGCCATGACTATTTCTGAATTTCATCCTAAGATTCCTGAACATTTTCTCTCCCTTATCTCCTTCTATGATATTAAATATCTATGATATTGGATCACCCACCTATACCATTTTTAAAAGGAAGATGGCTTTCTGGTCAGTTGTTTGCAAAGCATCATTGCTGTCACATTATTCAAACTCAAAAGTGTAACAGCGTGCACTGGCTGTCAACCTCTGAGCCATTTTAATATTATATTATGTTGGGGAAGAAATTAGTAGCTTTTGACTAACGTAAAAATAATGTAGTATGTGTAATCAGCAATCATTTAAGCATTTTGCAAAAAAGGGCACACATATGAAAGTAGAATATTCCATTTTCCATGTCAATATTTCTAAATATATTAATCCACTAAATAGCATAGCTACAATTTAGCTATCTGTAACACATTAGGTTTATAAATGTAGAACCCAAAGGGGAAAAAAAATCACAGAATTTAAATGGAAAAACTGCTTTAAGAATTGCATTTTCTTAAATTGCTTCAGAGTATCCGAAAGAAGTTAGATCATGCTGAATTTTTCATCTCCCTACTCTCTTTGTATTTACTATGTTGTGATACTACATCTACGTCAGAAGTTCTCTGGGTGTTATACAATCAATTAAAAGATGTTATACAATCAATTAAAAATATATACCAATATTAACATTTAAAAATAACATATTACATACATTTTGAAGCATTATTAAAGAAAAAAAAAATCTTCATTTTGCACCAAAAAGACTACAATGTAAACATCAGGCTAGCATCTCTGCAGAAAGTCGTGTCCTGATAAGTAATCACGGAGGGAGATACTGCTTCTGACAGACTGACCTTAACTGACAATTAAATTAAGGGTACTGATGATGTTACCTACTTGGTAATGAAACATCTGCAAGCAAACAACCAAGCTCAGAGAGCATCAGGGATTCCACAGACTGACCTTAAGTCCTTTAGGGAATTATAGGTTATTACTACCTATAATTCTACATGGAATGATATGAGCATGAATCATGTTGCCAGGCTATTTTTCCCCTGGCAAGGTAATGGCTGGTGTTATCAGCCCAAGATGATAAAAGGTATCCTCTAAGTTCCTGAAGCTACTCAGGCTTTCAAATGGTAATGCAGGGTCCAAAAATATTACTAGAACCATACACTTGAACTCTAATCGAAATACAAAGCTTTCCTCAATTGGATGAACACAATTAATCGAACAGATAGCCCATTTACAGAATGTTTGCTTTCTCTGTACTGAGTGACAGTTATTAACCCTATTCCAGGCCATCATCTTACTTAGGCCTATTTATTATTTATGGTTATTTTCAAAATAATTCTTCAAGAAAGCTATTCCCTTTCAGAACACACATGTGCTGCAAAATGAGCTCCTCAAGCATATCGTAAACATATTTATACATACTCAAAAAGAATACAAGAACAGTGAATTCATGACTTCGTATAGTTGAAAACACCACTCCATATGGGGAAACATTAAAATATTCTTTGTATTGAAAGAAGCTCCAAGGTATTTCTTTTTTTCTCCTCTGCATTATTCAGCATGGCTATAGAATATCTTTCAAAATTAAGGTAGATAATTTAATAAAATTGTTTTCTGATTATGAAGCAATTTGAAAAATGAAACAATTCTGTTAACAGAAATAATTTTTAATATGTTTTTCTAATCTATCTCACTTTCTGCTCCTAAATTACCCACTGATCAGGAACAATTAGAATGAATAAAGAAACAGATAAATAAATGCACTTGGATTGAGGCATCAAGCAGTTCCACTGCTGGGCTTATATTGCCATTCAATATAGTAGTACTAAGACTCATAATGTATCTTGAAAGTGACAGGAAGCTAAACCTGCCGCTCATTCCAATTCAAGAACCAGAAACTGAACACACAGCAAGAAGTGCATTATTAGACTGGGACAATTGCTTCTTGTTTAAAAGAATGAGACAGATGCTATTAGGATCAGACATAAACCACTTCTGATGTAAGAGATGTTTCTCCGTTGATTTAGATGAACAGATCTAAAATACGTATATTACCTGTCCACATCCAGGGGCAGTACATAGAAAGGGTTTGTCATCACTCATATTCTACAGGTTCTTGGGTTACCTACATTGGAATAGCAAACATAATTACTTTAAGATTATGCCAAGAATTTATCTTGTATTGATTTATGACAAAGTCTCAAATAAAAACAATATCTCAATACACTTTTTTCTTTTCTTTCTTTCTTTTTATATACATTTTGATTGATTTTCCAGTTTTACATTTAAATATTTGAAAAGCAACGTGGCGGCTGGGTTGGTTCATAATTCAATAACATAGAAATTTCTTTAGTACAGATAATAAACTAGTACATTAAATATTTCCTCTTTTTCCCTTGGTATTTACTGTCTTTTTTCAAGCATATTTCTAAAATAACCTAATTTAAAAAAATCCTAAATCTGGTACATTATTTGTCCAAAGTGAAATTGAAAGTTGAACACGCAATTATCAGTCAAGCTTGAAAATATTTTTATGAAGTATAGAAACTAGGCTTTATTAGTTTAACAGGACATAGGTATGTCAATATGTCTCCCTTTGGTAGATTCCATACCTATATAGGTAGTCCTTGACTTATAATAGTTTGTTCAGTGACTGTTTAAAGTTACAATAGCACTGAAAAAAGTGACTTACGACCGTTTTTCACACTTACCACCCTTGTAACATCTTCATGGTCATGTGATCAATTTCAGACTCATATTTATGATGGTTGTAGTGCCCTGGCATCATGTGATCATCTTTTGTAACCTTCTGACAAGCAAAGTCAATGGGGAAGCCAGATTCACTTAACAACTGTGTTACTAACTTGACAATTGTATTAAATTACTTAACAACTGTGGCAAGAAAGATTGTAAAATGGGGCAAAACTCACTTAACAAATGTCTTGCTTAGCAACAGAATTTTGTGGTCACAAATCGAGGACTATTTATATCCCAAAGTGGCTAGGTGAACAATTTACTGAGTGCGAAAGACTCCTTATGCCAGAGATATTATATTCTATTTCTGGTTTTGGATGAGTTGCTTTTCCCCATTTAGAGTTAGTTTTATAATCTGGGAATCCCTGAAGAATTAAAAGTTAGAACAGGGGTAGTCAACCTTGGCTCTTTTATGACTCGTGGACTTCAACTCCCAGAAGGAATTCTGGGAGTTGAAGTCCACGAGTCATAAAAGAGCCAAGGTTGACTACCGCTGAGTTAGAACAATTAATCAGTGGAACAACCTGCCTCCAGAAGCTGTGAATGCTCCAACACTGGAGGTTTTTAAGAGACTGGACAGCCATTTGTCGGAAATGGGTTGGACTAGATGACCTCCAAGGCCCCTTCTAACTTTTATATTTGCTTCTGAGGCAATTCATGCTGGTTGTCATCTTTAAAATTGTATATGATCCAGACCCTGAACATCTTTGCAATATCCTACTTAAAGTGGCTCCTTCTAGTTCATTAGAATATTGAACAGCTGGCTCCTTTTGCAACTCTACTACTAGGAAGTATAATCTGTAAGGGTTTGAACCCAGGTCTTCTCTGAAGGTCAGATCTGGCTTGAACCTCTTGGCCTTCCAAAAAAATGATCCAGAGCTGGCCTTTACAACAACCCTCTGGGACCAGAGAAGTTTGTACCTTCAGGGGTTTCCTGCAGAGTAAGTGTTTACGTTTGTTCCTTCGTGCTTAAGAGTATGATTGTGGTAATTTTCTGTTATTCGTATTTTTATTCCCATTACTCTGCTCAGGTGTGTAAGGTACTCAGAATCAGTTGTGACAGAAACAAGGTAAATATATAAACAAAGACATTACTAAGTGGTGTCTAATAGTAGTGGAACCTAATTGCTACAGAAGGTTGCTTAATGGAACCATAAACGGAGAGTGGATTAGATACCATTAATTCAGAGGTTCTTAAATTTAACAATGGAAATGAGAAATATATAAAATATTATCACAAAATGTGTCAGTGGAAACTTTAATTAGATCAGATGGGTTTTGAATAATTTTTACTCTACTAAAACCTGCTTATTATAATTAAACCTGACAATCAGTACTCTAAATTTGTATCTTAATGAATACAAATGGGACACTTTTAAAATACATTTAAATTTTAAAATGTTCTAACCAATTTTAGATTCTAATGGATTCCAGTGAAAAATGTTCAGATTCAGTGAAAATCTCTCTTTAATTTCAGGTGGGTAAGTTTATTTCCATTTATGAAAGATTATTCTTTTTATTCTGATTTGTTGGAATCAATTTTTTCATGAAATGTTAATTCAACATCACATTTATATCTTTGGCTGTTGTTTTTCTTTCCAAAAATTAAACCATGTCCTGATTTGAGTGGACAAGACCAAGTTCTTATAACTGATATTATATGATTCCAATTAAGCTAATTTGCAAAACTGAACTAAATTGAAGTTTTTGATGGTAATTCCACATAAAATATGATGCAGAAATCCAGATATGGGTAATTCAAAGTGGCCTTCTGTGTAGGTAGCACTTGTATTTAAGTTGCTGCAAGTTATGCACACATACAACAATGTGAACAATGTCAGAGAATATTACAGGTATTCCTTGACCTGCAACTGTAACTGAATCCAGAATTACAGTTGTAAGTCGTCCTGGTTGGTAAGTGGTTCACTGTATGACTGGACCTGGTTTTACAACTTTTGTGGTGGTCATTAAGCAAATATCATAGTTGATTAGCAAATCCACTGTCTACAATCAGCGTTTTTTGCCTGAAACCAGAATTTTCCGGCAAAAAATATAGTAAAATGTGTTCATGATTGTGGGATACTGCAAATGGATGAAAATGCAGGCTGAGCACCCAAAATGCAATCATATAACCATGGTGAGGATGGGGTGGGGCATCAGTTGTTGGAACTTTGAATCCAGGATGTAAATAACCCTATGTATCAGTTGTAAGTTTAGGATTATCGACAATTTCCATCAAAATTATACTCCAGTCCACCATATAGTATTGCCCAGGTGGACATTATACACAGGGAAGAAAAATCTGGACCCTTGTATACCAAGATGGTATCGGGATAATCAGTGTATGAATTTGTCCTTCCCAACATACTACCATCATATGAGGCCCTTAAAAATAAAGCTATGATGCAATCTAATTTCATTATTGGAACATTGACCAAAACATAGCTAAATGACAATTTCTAAAAGTGCCAGAGTTTATGAACCAACCATAATTGATTTCATGCCCTGTGAGCTAGTGAGCACACAACTCCCCTCAATTTATTAAGAAAAGGTTTAATCCCATCTAGAAAGGGTCGAAGAGGTTTTTGCATTGCCTCTGATTTTTAGAATCTATCAGCTTTCATCCAGACAATTACTACTTTCATGCAATCAGGGTTATCATTAAGCTGCCAAAAATCAAGAACCCATTAAGTCACAATTTCTTCTTTTCCCACAACCATTTACCAGGGTACTGAGAAAACCTTGCCCTGAAGACAAGTCAGCATCAGAAATGAAGATCACTACTCCCAACATAAATTTAGTTGTTTTCTGCTTCCACCATAGATAGAATAATTAAAGTGCACAAGGGAAAGGAATCCCATGCTGCTTCTTGTTCCATCAATTCAATACCTATTTGGATTCAGACACAAAATCCTAAAAAGTATTTTTTATGAACCATTGCTTCCTCAACAACAGATTATGTATTTTTGTTTAGCTATGTTTGTTTATGAAAACATCTCTTGCTCTTTTTATTGAAAAAAATTATATCTCAAGACAAGGCATATAATAATTTAAAAGACATCACTCTCGAGAGATTCTAGAGCTTTGGTCCAATAGTATACATTAAAGCATTGTCACCCACTGATGCAATAAGGTTTCTAAACAATTGTGAGAGGTAGCACTATTCTTGCAATTGTTTGAAAGCCTCCTTCTCCAAATTGAAAAATTCCAAATGACTCCTGTTTGTAGAACATCACAAGGCAGCCTCTATAGCAGGCATGTCAAACTCGTGATATCACGTGACGTTGCATGACGTATCGTGACTTTTCCCCCATTGCTGGCAATGGGGTGGGCGCGGTTTCACCGTGACGCATCTAGCCCGCAGGTCGGCAGTTTGACATGCCTGCTCTATAGGAAGGTCACACCTCGCATTGACTGAGCACGCTTGTCAGCAACTGCAAAAAAGGCAAAGGTAAGTGGAGAAATGTATGTGTGCTGCTGGGAGGGGTACAGAGCAGGCCTGTACCTGAGCAGGTCTGTACCCCTCCTGAGCATGGAGGGGTACAGAGCAGGCCTCAGCCTCCAGGGCCATGGCAGCATTGTGCACACTGGTGGGTCAAAGGGCGGCTGAGACTGGGGTAGATATAGGTGGGCGGGAGGCAATTACAGCAGCCCTGAAGTCTGTCATAAGGATGAGCGGATTGACAAGTGTCCAAATTTTCATCATCTGACTGCAGGGGCTTTGCACGTCCATAATTTTCACTACAGGTCATAAGTCTCTTCCTTCAGCACCATCATAATTTTGAATTGTTGCTATCACACCCTAATTCAGACCTGGGCATTTTACAGTGCCTGAGCCACATCTGGGCCTTTGGCTGTCCCTATCCAGCCCGTGTAAGGTCAATTGGAAATTGGAAATCAAATGTAAATAAGACGTAATATATATTCTTACCAGTAGCAACTAATCAAAACCATGTAATTTACTGCTTTTTATAAAGTGGTAAAATTAATGTGGAGCAGAATTAAGTTCAGTCTATTGGTTCAGCCCTCCACAACAGTTCGTTTCTCATGTGGTCTCTTGGGAAAATTAATTGCCACCCCATGCCCTAATTGCTCCATTTGAGAAATGAATGCAAATAGAAACTTTTTTTCAGTCACGACACATGACTTGGACCATATATTATAATATCCATAGCCTGGAAACAAGTATTTCTGAGATGATGAGAGATTTTATTTATTCTTTGAAGATAGAAGTAAATGCATTACTGTGTGCTTGTTTCAGGACTCTAGAATTCCTTTTTGGGCAACAACTCCAACTTGCAAAACTAGATATTCTACCAAATATATGGTATTTCATGAAGAAGCAGATTTACAACATAAGGACATTCAATAATTATGAAATTATCTAAACAAGGTATTGGTAAACATGTACAGAGGGGAAATGTGTTAATTTTATGATACTCTCAAGAAAAATTGGCAATTTCTAAAGTTTTAACCCAAATTCCTATGGCCATATATATCAATGGGATCGATAGGGACCCACTCAAAATTCTTTTAATAGAAAAATTGAAAACAGATCTGAACTAGAGGAATATATTTCTATATTTCAAAATTATGTGTACAGAATAACATTTATAAACTTCTTTATAAAGTAGTTTAAACTACAGGTAGTTCTCACTTAATCACAATTGAGATCAGCAACTCTATCATTAAGCAATACGGACATTAAGCGACACATCACATGACCACGACTTAGGAATTTTACTACAGGTTTATTCACTCACTCTGCTTGTTGGAAGATGGCTGTGAAGTATAAAACTGCCGATTAAATGACTATGGAATACTGCAAAGGTTATAAGTGCAACAGCCATTTGTAAAGCTATATTCAGCATCGCTGCAATTTCAAATGGTTGTTGAATGAGTACTACCTGTACATCATTTCAAAAGAACATATCAAGATCTTTCTTCCTGATTTGGCAATCTTAGTTTACAAACATTCAGAAACTACTCAAGGCAGGTTTTAGAAATTATCTAAAATAAGATGAAAAATTAGCTAATTTTTAAAAGAATAGAAAAAGTTTCAGGACCTGCAATACATCTCGAGAGAAAAGTGTCACAATAGTAACTTAGTAAAATAAACAGATAGTCTGCCTTACTGACCACTCATTCAGCGACCATTTCAAGTTGCAACATGCTGCTCCCCATGGTCATGTGATTATTCAGGTGCTTGGCAACCACTTGCATTTATGACAGTTGCAGGATCCTGGGATCATCAGATTGCCATTTACAACTTTCCCTACAAACAAGCAAAATCAATGGGGAAGATGGCAAAGAAGGTCACAAATTGCTCTGGTAAATCTCCCCCTTTTTGCACACTACACCTCTCCTTCCCTTGGACTCCCTGCACTTGCACTGCACCCTCCCTCTCCTGGCTCCCTGCTCGTGACCCATTCTCTCCCTCTCTCAGCTTGCACTGCACCACAGCATCTCTCTCCCCAATCTATCTGTGGCCTGTGCCTGTCACATACCCCTGCTCTCTTTACATCGGGCTTCTGTTGCTTCCTGCTTAATAACCCACACGTCTTGGAGTTACAATGGCAACTGTGACTGTCTGGATTGCTGTTGCTGAGCAATATGATCATGTGACATTGCGCTTAATGACATTACTTAGTGAAGCCAATCCCAGACCCAACTGCCATCACCCACGGACTACCTGTAATCATTCTAAAATAGGGAATGAACAAAACCACGGCATCAAGATAATGGAATACAGGTAGTCCTCACACTTACAACTTTCACATCATAGTCATGGTCACATGATCAAAATTCAGGTTCTTAGCAACTGGTATGTATTTACCGGTACAATAGTTGCAGCATCCCATGGTCATGTGATTACCATTTGCGATGTTCCCAGCCAGCTTCTGACAAGCCAAAGTTAATGGCAGAAGCTGGATTTGCTTAATGGCATGATTCCCCTAAAAACTGCAGTGATTTACCTAATAATTGTGACAAAAGAGTAATAAAATCACGCACGACTCACTTAACAACCACCTTGTTTAGCAATAGAAATTCTGATCACAATTGTGGTCATACATTGAGAACAATCTGTATACAATAAGTCTATGCACTAAATATCTTGATACAGTTCAGACTAAATTAGAAGCTTAAAACTTGACACGACTGTGATGAGATAAATTTCATAAGCATATATAATTAAGCAGATTCTTCACCTCCCATTATAAGTCCTCTATGAAGAATAACTTTAAACAGGGCATTTAATTCCAACTCAAACATTACTCAACTAAAATTTAGGCTTCTTCCAGACAGCCAAATTAAAAGTGCTACCCATCAGTATTTCAGCCAGCAGAAAAGCATATCACATAAATT